GGGCTGTTAGAAAAGCAAAACATATGTATTTAATCCTAATGTATGCCAGAGCTTCCAGGGAGGAGCAGCCACAGCTTCTCTGGGCAACCTGGGACACTGTCTCACCACCCTCACACCAAAGAATTCCTTCCTTGTATCCAGCCTCAATTTACTCCCTTTCAGTGTCATCTGTGCCGCGTTTCCTCAGCTGCACGCAAAAAATGCGGGGTTAGTTGTACTGAATTACCTTTCTTTTATCCTTCAGGACCAGCACTAGCTGTCCAAGCTCCAGCTTTTCTTCCCCAACCAGTAAACGACAGCAGCGAAAGTAACGAGGCGCCGAGCCTGTTGGATGGCATCGTGTGGATGGCGGCGCCGAAGAAGCGGCGCACCATTGAAGTGAACCGCTGCAGGAGAAGAAATCCCAACAAGCTTATAAAAGTCAAGGTAATCCCCACATTTCTATGCCCTTGCCACCTTATTCACTGCAAGTAGTTTTCTTAATGGCCAACAAGCGTGCTGGAGGAAGATTTACACCAGTTGTTTTTCATCTCACTTATTTTAGAGAATCATTATGGTGGTTAATACTGACTGAATACTTTCCAGGCTGGATGAGGCTTTGAGCAACCTGGTCTAGTGGAAGGTGTCCCTGCTGATGGCAGGGGGGTTGGACCTGGATGAGCTTTAAGGTCCCTTCCAACCCAAACCATTCTATGATTCTATGAAAAAGCTTTCTGGGATTTGTTTATAAATAAGCTTAAAAGACATTGTCATCCTCAAAATGCTTTGTTACAGGGACATTCATCGTGTGTGGCAGTAGTCTTTGGTTAAATAAACTGACAGTTTAGGTGCAAGCCAACAAAATGTATGAGTTTTAATTAAACAGGTAGTAAAAATGGAAAAGATTTATATCTCCTGTGCATCTAATTGAGCTGAAAGGTCTTTAATCTGCCAAACATCAATAGGCACAATGGTTTAGGTACTGATTTCACAGGCTGTTTTTAGTAGTGAACATTTGACATAGCAATAGGTTACAGAAGGATTACTTTAGAAGATAGAAGAATAAATTTTGAAGAGGCAATTGAAGTTTTCTGGTATGTCATGTGACATTTTTAGTAGGTTATGGTTGTTCCCTGTTTCTTTTGTTGGTGTTGTGCAGATTACAAATATTTCCACTGTCTTTGTTTTGTTTTGTTTTAGACGAACATAGATGTTTGTCCAGAGTGTGGAAACCTGAAACAGAAACACGTGCTTTGTGGCTATTGTTACGCAAAGGTCAAAGCAGAAACTCGACTGATACGGCTGGAAATGCAGAAAAAAGAAGGAGGGCCCTTTAATGCTCCAGCTGTAGAAACCGTCGTCCTTTATGAGGGAGAAAAACCCCCGGGAAAAGATGAGGGGAAACGGATCATTGAAAGAGCCAGGAAACGTCCCTCTTGGTTTGTTCAGAATTGATGAATTTCAGCTCAGAAATAATTGTTCACAGCTGATGCTGACCAAAGCAGTCGCTGCAGCAAGAGAGCTGGTGATTTTCAAGAGCGTTTTCCTCGTTCACTCACTGTTGGTGCAGAAAAACCCGTGAGGTTTTGGGACACCCGCTGGAATGGTGCAGTCAGGTGGCGTTTCTGTCGCACGCAGTGGGAAATGCTTCTCGGTGACACGTCACAGCAGTCAACAATTAAAGAGAAATCAGGATCTATGTGGGGTTTGGATACTGAGTGATTTGTATGCTGATGTTCTCTGCTGCTTTTGTAAATAACATTTTCTTTTTTTTTTTAAACAAAGGGAAAATATTCACGGTTGTAAAATAAAGCGTGTTCAGTTTCCCCAGGAAATCTGCTTTCTGGTTTTGGCTGCTGCTTTTTTGGAGGGGGAGGGAAAACAAACAAAACAAAAGGACAGGGGGAGAATTTCAGAACCAATGTTGATTAGAGAAAAAGGGTGTTTACAAGGAAAGCTCCAGTTCATCTGATAATTGCCATGGCTCTTAACAGAATCTGCCTGGATCACTCTGCTGTTTGAGATACTCGGTGATATTCCTATTTTTGGAGCAAAATAGTGGTTGCCATGTAGTATTTGCACTTTTTTTGTGTCCTGGGCTGCAGGTTAAGTGTTTCTTGTTGTTAGTATACAAAATAATTTTCTGGCTTAAAGGGATATGGAAAGCCTTTTTTTCCCCCCCTCAAATCAAAGTGCACTTGATTTCTTGAGTGAAATAACAAAATGAAACGTGATGACTGGAAATCTGTAAATTTGACAAGTATCAAAGCTGATTCTTTGCAGCTGTTGCCTTGAAGTAACCTGAGTGGTCATTGTGTGCTTGGAAAGCCAGGAAGAGCAGTTGTGCTTTGAGTCTCCTGCAGAGCTGGGGGCAGCTCTGCCCTGTGCTGAGCACGGGTACTCCTCAGGGATGCAGTTACAGCACCTGGCTGTGGATTTTCCCTTCGCTTTTAGGCCCAAAGCAGCAATGTTGCATTTAAGACACAGAGTTTTCATTTTTCAGATTGTGATTTCAATACACAGGTGGTACTTTTGATCTTCTGGCTCAGCCAGTCTCGTAGCTGTTTGCTGCTGAAAAATGCAAGCTTGCCCCTAGCCCTGGCTAGGTTGCCCCTGTGCTTCCTTGGCACTCAAGCATATCTGCTCCTGTGCTGTCCTGGGTTGGGGAGCTTTGCTGACAGAGAAGAGATCCAGAGAAATCCCTGGATTTCTACAGCTTGGTTTTTAGCAGGTACCTCCCTGTAGCTCAGCTCATGTCAGGGTCAGGAAAGTAGGAACACACAAGTGGAGGACGCAGGGCCACGCTTTCCAGAGTAGCCTTGGTTTGTACATGGCTGAGCTAATTACACCTGCCTAAGGAGTGGGCTCGTGTGTGCTGTAACACTTCACTTCTCCTTTCCTTGCTCTGGATTCCATGTTCATAAGGGCACTTAATGACAAAACAAGGGGAAATGGGTTTAAGCTGAAAGAAGGGAGGTTTAGATTAGATATTAGGAAGAAGTTCTTCACTGTGAGGGTGGTCAGACACTGGAACAGGTTGCCCAGAGAAGCTGTGGCTGCTCCTCCCTGGAAGTGTTCAAGGCCAGGTTGGATGAGGCTTTGAGCAACCTGGTCTAGTGGAAGGTGTCCCTGCTGATGGCAGAGGGGTTGGAACTGGATGAGCTTTAAGGTCCCTTCCAACCCAAACCAGTCTGTGATTCTGTGATTCTGAAATATAAGGAGTAGGAGCAAATGTTAGTGGGGATGTCACATTTCCTCCATACTCTCAGGCAATAATGAAGGCTGTTAAGTGTAAATTGATGCCATTTAGTTGACAGTATCCAAGCAAACAACATAAGTTCTTTTTTATTTGTCCAAACAGGATGTATTCCAGTCGTAGCTGGTTTTCACTTACTCAGAACTGAAGGCAATAAAAGGTGGCAAGCAGGATGCAGAGTGGAAGGCTTACTTTTGACAATGCTGCATGGGATGAGACTGACATATTAGAGGTGAGATTAGCCAAGCAATAAGACAGATATATTGTCCTGAGGGAGAGGTGGGGTTTTATTTTTAATTTGTCCACATATTACAGGACCTATTACACCTTACTATCTTAGTTGCTTTTTATATATTTATATTTTTGACAAAGGTTCTGTAGAGAAATAAGTGAAATTAGACTGAGATGTTGAGAGTCATGGGTTAAATTCTCAGAAGTGCAGAGGTATTTAAAAAAAAAAGAAACAGAAAAAATTCTCTAAATGTGAGAGGGGACGTGGGGTTTTTTTTGCTAATCGAGTAATAATTATAATTGGCAGTTAATTGCATTAGTTTATTGAATTATAGTATCAGTGAAGCAATGAAGATGCTTTACAAGTAGAATTCTTGTGAAACATAAGTGAAGTTAGACTGTGCCAACACTAATTTTAAGATATTTGCAAGGTCCCAGTTAAATAATGAATTTATTCCACAGCCCTACTGCTTATGTTAGTCCTGCATCTGTGCAATCCAGACAAGAGGAGATGCTTCAGAATGTTTCACAGTGGTTTCTGAGTAATGTGGGTGAAAAAAGGCATTAAAATAGCTGATGTTCATGGTCTCTAAAAGATAAAATATAAACAACTGACAAATATTGAAGATTTGTACCTGCAATTGATACAGGACCAGTTAATTTTCTGGGGGGGAAAAAAAATCTTCAGTGAGAGTCAGAACAGTTTAGTTTGAATGACTGTCCTTCAAAAGAAGAGTAAAGAAAAGCTCACTTTCATGGCTTTATTTTATTAACACTAACAATATGAAGCTCCATTACTTAAAAAAAAATAAAAAATAAAAAAAAAATCCAGAATTGCTTTAAAACATGTGGTGTTACTTGAAATAAACTCTGTTGATATGTCATTTTGAATGAAGGATAAGTTGCAATAGTGCTAATATATAAACACACACTTTTTGAACCAATGTAAATTAAAACTGTCAAAAAGCAAGCTGGTTGTTACAAATGCTGTACTGCAAAATCCATTTAAAAACAAAAATTACGTGCCTCAGAGGAATTTCACTTTGATGCATCGGGAACCTGCTGGTAGGTGAAAAAGACATTATTTTTTTTCTCTGAAAATTTAATATTATTTAGTACATATTATATTTGATTATGTTTTTCTTTATTTAAAATAAAAATTATTTTATTTTAAATTTTAGAAAGAACCAAGGAAGGTGATGTAATGTCCTAAAATACAAGAATGCAAGTTGCTACATGATTTTGTATCATACTAAGCTCTGCAGAGACAGAGGTGATCTCTGGCAGTGATCAATTACAATAGAGATTGATAAACCAAGTTTCTCCTTAAACTCCCATTTAGCAAGGAAATTTTAGTAACAGGTTTCTGAACAGTCCTCTTCTATTCTCTTGAGCACACTATGCCAGCAGGAGCTGGCAGTTGCTATAAAATATTCTTCTTTAAAGCACCAGGTGGCAGAGGAGTGCAACTGTCTGGTAAGTGCAAATCAAAAGCCAAAGTTCTTTAAGTGAGACAAGAAACGAGTCAATGTGAGATTCAAGAAATTTGCATGTGTGTAAGGAAAAGATCTGCAAAAAAAGACTAAATTTTCTAAGTATGAAGAGAAATATAATAGTTGTTGTGAGATGTAATGTATTGGAATTTATTGTTCTGACTGAATTTAATTAGATTTATGCTGGGAACTAACACGCTGACTTTTGTGTGTATTATTTATGCTCTTTGCTGGGGGAATTATTTGAAATAGCAGTTGTACCTATCACTTTCCCTTAATGAGATAGTGGAGCTCTTCTTACACCTCTTAATTACAGATGGCTTTCTAAATTCTATTGATTTCTATGCCTGGTATATTCAGTTAGTTGACATTTTATTTATGCAGCTACAAAGTCATGTCAATAGTAGGTCTGGTGGCATTCTGATGAATTTCAAGGTATAACTGCCTTGAATTTGTAGAGCCATAAGGATCAATTTACAAACAGCAGACACAAAGTGGCATGAAAAATAAACCAAGGTGGTGTTTAAATGAATAATAGTTGCTCAGAAGGGAATAGAAGGTTGTGTGCTCCATCAAAGTTTTTAAATGTTTTGGAAGCACACGAATGATGAAGATGCCTGTGTCTTTAGAACTTCCTTGTTCATTAGTATTTAAAGAAGATATTAGCAAAAATCCTTCTTTCACCTCACATGACTGCATTGTGTCATTTATACAGTGAATGAGGACCAGTCAATACAAGTTGTTTCCAAGTAATTTGCCAAATTATTAACCTACCAAAGACTTTTAAGAATGGGGAGGGAAATCAGTGAAAGGGATGAGAAGGAAGCAGGCTATGCAGCAGCGATGGATTTACTTTTGCCTACTCTATGTATATTCTTAGGAAGTTCTGTTGAAGTCAGTGGAGAATAATTCAAGGCAGAATTTGGTCCATATGCTGAAACCCTGGACATATGGAGGTTTGCAAGTATATATATTTTGAATGCAGAGCATATACCTGTGAAACTGCTGCTGGATACCAACAGGATTGAGTTTACATCTGAAAACTAAGATTGCATGTGATGAATGTAGGAAATTGAGTCTAATCAGTTGATGTTCAGCTTTTGATCACAAAAATGATCCGAGGGCTGGAGCACCTCTGCTATGGGGACAGGCTGAGAAAGTTGGGGCTCTTCAGCCTGGAGAAGAGAAGGCTCCAGGGAGACCTTCTAGTGGCCTCCCAGTACCTGAAGGGGCCTAATAAGAAAGATGGAGACAGACTTTTTAGCAGGACCTAAAGCCATAGGACAAGGGGTGATGGTTTTAAACTAAGAGGGGAGATTCAGACCAGATATAAGGAAGACATTTTTTACACTGAGGGTGGTGAAACCCTGGCCCAGGTTGCCCAGAGAGGTGGTAGAAGCCCCATCCCTGGAAACATTCAAGGTCAGGCTGGACGGGGTTCTGAGCAACTGATCTGGTTGAAGATGTCCCTTGTC